CGAATATCAACGTGAGTATCGCGGCGAGCGATGCGCTCGGTCCGAACGCGAGCATCATCGCGCCGATGAGCGTCACGCCAACGATCGAGCCGATCTGCGCGATCGCGCTGTCGAGCGGACGCAGACTCTTGGGCGACGTTGCGTCTTGCCGCGCGCGATCAGACGCTCGCGCGGTAACGACGGAGCCGTCGATTGCAGCAGAAACGCGGCCTGTTCGTTGTCGCGCATCGAATCGCGCACCAGATCGTCGTCCACTCGAACGGCGTCGTTCTCGTTGCCTACGACGCGAACGCGTTGACCGTTTGAATTGAAGCATCGATGCGAGAAGTAGTGTATCGCCCAGAGCATGTTGCGCACCACCGGCGAATCGGAGAAAACGGGACGAGCGCGCTGTCGCGTCGATCGATCGATACTGGCCGCGTCCGGTCTCGGCCTCCGGTGGCATCGCGAATCATCGCGTGCATCGCCTCGGCGAACGGAGCGAAGAACCACGGCGCGTCGTCGCGCGAGCGTACCGTGAATCGGGAGTCCGGACCGACGATCGCGACGGCGGATTCGTCGTGACTGTCGTCCGTGACGACAGTGCCAGTCGTGCGAGACGAGTACGTGCTGCTGTACAGATAGAGCGCGTAGTATGGGTCCAAACGCGGCACTCGCTTGCGCGTTCTCAGTCGCAACCACGCCAGCGCGTGCTCGTCGAACGTCGAGTTCTGCCTCTCGGCGTTGTAGTGACTCGGGTCCCAGCGAACACCAGAGCCATGTCCAGCACGAACCACAACAGTTCGATCGCGGTGACGAAGACGCCGACACCGGTGGCCGCGGTGCTAAGCGACAACATGACCCGCGTGCTCAATCTGGTCAGCGCGGTCGATAACATGCGCGTTGTGGCTGCGCGAACGCCCAGAGACAGAAGCGTGCGCGATGCCACGCCGCCGAATAGTTGACCCACGAATCGCAGAGCGCGATTGTACGCCGGTTTAATCAGACGCGCGGTCTACCGCTCGAGCATCACGCTAGTCGTCAACATACCCACCTCCTTGGCGAGTGTCACGACGAAGCGACGCACTGCGTCGTGACTGGTCATCCTCGAACCGCGCAACGACACGTCGGCGTACATCGCGTCGAATTCCAGAATGGATCGATGCTCCCGGTCGACGTCGTTGCTCCCGGTCGCCTCAGTGGCTCGTTTGACGCGCCGCGGAATGGTCGCTACCTCGTCGCGATCGTACGTCGTCGATTCATCCGCGACAAGGTCGCGATCGCCGACGAAACCCGAGAACGCCGCGTCGTCGCCGTGTCGCGCGTCGCGGCGTTGCAGAAGGTTGCGCACGATGCTCCGCGTGTCCGTGTCGGCGAGAGAGCACGTGGTCGAGCCGACCCTTCCCCGTACGCGCTCGTCGCTCGCGTCGAGGTTCGCCGCTCGTTTCTTCCGTACGCGCTGGTCGCTCACGCCGAGGTTCGCGGCGGACGCGTAGTCGTCGGGTTTCGCGCGCTCCACACGGCCGCCGTCGCGATTCGTCCAGATCGTATCCTTCGACGATACACTCAGATCAGACAGCAGAACGTTCGGCGAGGGCACACCCATGCGCGATCGACATCATCGAACCACTCGCGACGCAAGAGCAACCGTGGGTCCTCGTCGGACACGGAGACCTCCGGTCGCGACGGCAACGCGGGGAACGTCTCGTCGCACCGATCCCCACCATGAAACGCGTGGCGAGCCAGTCGCACCAACGCTGACCCCAGAAACGTGTAGGACAGAGCAGTTTCCCACCACGGAACGACGCACGTGCGCGTCGCCGGGTCGAACTCCTTGGCGAAAGCCGCGCAGTATGACGAGCTCAATCGTCCCGTGGTAGCGTACCTCTCGTCGGGCTCGCCAAAGACCGCACCGTTCACGTCGTTCGGGATCTTGCCGCGCAAGACGTCCTCACCGATGGCGAAATTGCTCACACGACACTCGTCGCTCTTGCCGTTCGCGCTGCGAGCCCACGATTGCATGATGTACAAAATCAGACCGAGGTTGGCGATTTCGCATGTTTCCGACTCGGGAGCGTACACGAACAGCGCTAGATCCGCGGCCGGGGTCATCACGTCCGCGGGTGAGAGTCGAGTCGTCCCCTCGCGCCGTTTCGATCTCCTTCCCTGTCGAATCGCTCGTCGTCGATATCGTCCGTCGCGCACCGACATCGCGCTGTACTCTCGCGACGAGTAATGCTCGGCGCGCAGATCGTTCGTGGCGGAAGACGAAGCGGCGGTGAACGTCGATCGGAGATTGCGCAGAAAAAAACAGACGGGTTCGCACGCGGTGACCGACGACGAGTCGTCCAAGGGAAACAGTTTTGGCACGTTAGAGGGTGCGTATCGGTGACCCTCGCCATCGCGCTGATACGAGTCGTGACATCGCATGAACCGGCACATTGACTCGGTGTTCATCCATCGCAGAGTCACGACGATCGCTGCGTCGGCCATGGACTCCTCGTACGAGTAATCGTCGCGAGGGTCGGCCTAACGAATTCGTACCTCGATCTTCGACGCTACTCACGGACACGCGATCGCCAGATCCCACAATTGAAACAGAAGAGGGCGATTGTCGACGTAGGCGTTCGCCTGATTCTCGTCGAACTGCGTGTACGTGGCCGGCGATCGGCGATCTTCGGCATCTTCGCGTCGCGCGCCTTAGTGACTCGAAGACGCGACGCACACGGTCGGGCGATCGCGCGCGATAGAACGCGAAGAGATGATCCGCTGAATCGAACCCACATCACCGAGCGCTACGTACGATGTCGCTCTCGTGCGAATCGCGATTCTTCGTTCCGTCGATACTGTTGGAATTCGCTGAAAAAGCATCTCTTCGCGACCGTGCTAGTTCGTTCGTTCGTTCGTGAGAGAGAGAAAGAGAGAGAGAGAGAGAGAGAGAAGAATGGTTGTTTCGAGTCCGCGCATACGACGATACGCCGGTATCGCCGTCAAATCCCACGTAACGCTCAAAGATAACATTATAGATTCGGTGCATCGATAACGAGGAGAGTTATAAAACCGCGACATCGAGAACGGTTCAAATGTTCGAATCAGTCACTCGCTCGACAAGGTTGGAAGTCGGACCGAGGGAAAAAACTAATTCAACACGATGAACGTTTGTCAGTGTTCGATATACCAGCAGGTAAGTACATCGAACGATCGTACCTCTCGAGATCGATGTTCATACTCGACCGTGTTTTTTTCCGCAACGATAGCGAGCAAAGGCGATCGAGGAAACGTTCGCGTCGGACGCGTTCAATCTATCCACGGATTCGAGCGACGACGACGAATCGACGCGAACGAGCGATGCTTTGCGAGACGATTCGACGGATCCTCTCGAGCGCAACGACGACGAAATGTTGATCGCTGATACAACAACGACGGAGTTTCTCGATGACGACGAAGCAACAGTCGCGGAGCAACGATCGATGCGGTCGATGGTGAGTACAAGGACGATCGTCGCGAATACAGTGCTCGTTTTTCGACAATTAACATTTGCGTTCCCTCTCCAGTTTTGCGATTGTCAAAGGTCGGCGAAGAATCTATCGAGTTCAATGAACGCGACACTCGGAATCATCACCGATCGACAACACGAACGCGACCATGTCGATGCTGCGAATGCTCCCAGATGCGGCCCTGAATCGTTGTCCATGAACACTTCGATCAAATCACTGTTAACACTGCGAATGCTCGATGATACGATCAACGAGTTCAACGGTCTGAACGTCATAACTCGAACGAACGATCGTTCCCGCGTGCGAGTGTACAAATGTAACGACGGATTGATCGTGCGTTTAACGTATAAATAATAATAATAAAGATTTCTTTCGTACCAAAGTACGATAGTTCGTCATCATTGTCATCGTTCCCCTGAAACGCATTCGCATCCGCGCGAAAACGCATTCGCATCCGCGCGAGGACGTTCGAACGGATGTCGCCATGTGTAACGTATAGTTACACATGGCGACGAAACCGACAACCCTTCGACGTCGGGCGAGTGTCGGTTGCGCACTGGGGCGCGCTGCGCTGGACGCTGGTTGCGGGATTATCCTCGGTGTTTCGAAGTAACGCGATTGGCTGTAGAAGCAACCAATCGCAACATCGGTGTCTTTGAACGGTGAAATTAACGCCCTCTTTGTGCCTGTGGTTGGAGAAAAGTGTACAAATACCAGCGTCCAGCGCAGCCCACCCCAGTGCGCAACCGACGCTCGCCCGACATCGAAGGGCTGTCGGTTTCGTCACCGTGTGTAACTATACGTTAAACGCGGCGACATCCGTTTGAACGTCCTCGCGCGGATGCGAATGCATTTCAGGGGAATGATGACAATGATGACGAACCATCGTACGAGAGGATAATTGCAAAAATGGCACAAAAAAAGCTTTTCGATTCGTTTCTTCATTCTCAATACATCAAACGTACGAGCTAGCCACTGTGATGCTTGAACAATCGTACGCACGGGCGTTTGCGCTCGCGCGTGACAATATTCACGCTGTCGATCGCGTTGCTCATCCCTTCGCGGGGCAGTTGCACGGTCAAGGGTCTTTTTCGCGCGAGTACAATCGGCAGATCCAATCGCACGACGATCGGTTTCGTCGCTTCGTCATCGTCGTAGCATTCTCCATTCTTCGAACACGAACGATCGTCGATATTGCGTTCATTGAAGGAACGGTTATCGTCGTCGTCCTCGTTGCAGCAGCCCTCGTTATTCGAACACGAACGTTTGTCGATATCACTTTCATCGGAGGAACGATTATCATCGTTATCCTGGTTGCAGCATCCCTCGTTATTCGAACACGAATGATCGCCGATGCCGCGTTCGTCGGAGGAATGGCTCTCGTCGTCATCCTCGTTGCAGCACCCCTCGTTATTCGAACAGGAACGATCGTCGATGCCGCGTTCGTCGGATGAACGGTTCTCGTCGTTGTCCTCGTTGCAGCATTTCTCGTTATTCGAACTCGAGCGATCGTCGATGCCGCGTTCGTTGTCGGGAGTCGACGAGCGAATGTTCTCCGAATGCGACTGCAACGAAACGGTCGATTGAGACAAGAGGTAAGAAAGGAGATAAACAAGAGAGAGAGAGAGAGCGAGAAAGAGAGATTCAACCTCACCGATGACGCGTCGTCACTCGACGCATCCGAGTCGTCTCGATCAGCCTCGTTCTCGTCGGACGAATAATAGACGTCGTTCGTGTCCAACGATTCGTCGTACTCCGACTCATCGTAGGAATACTCATCGTCCATCTTTTATCGTCTCGTCGGATCGCGAAACGAATGCGTCGTGTGAACCAGCCTGGTTTCCATAGACGAGACGGCTCTCGTTAGCACGATCAAGCGAGCGCGTCTCTTCCTTGGGTGCGACTGAACAACCGAACTGTCGAACGTTGCGTTTTTATAGACCTCTTCTGGCGAGGCGGTCGTTTCGCGCGTTTCGTGCCTTGTCGAACCTGGAACATTTTCGACCGCTGATAACACCGATCGTATCAAATAGAAGAATGTGGTGGGAGGGGTGAAGTATCGAAGACAGGGAAACTCTCGTTTAGCGAATCGTGAGAATCTTTATTTTTCGTACACTCGCGACGTACGTTTCGTCGCGATCAATGCGCAATTTTTCACGTATTCTTGCTGCGTTCTGTTGACGCCCAAATCAATATTATATATCGCGTGCTCGCGCAACACGTGATTGCGCAGATCACGCTCGTTTTTAAAGAACGATCCGCACGTGTCGCACATTTCGTAATGCGGACAGTTGACGTTTCGGCCGACGCGTTGGAACGCCGACGACGTCGAACGTCCTCGCGCGCGTTTCTCGATGGTAGCGAGCGTTCGCCCGCGACAGCAATGAGCCGCGTGATAATTCAAACCGTTCTGTTGAACGAACGATTCGCCGCAACGATCGCACGGATACAGATTAAATCGATAGTGCACTAGTATGTGTTGCAAGTGAAACGTTTTGTCGAATACTCGGTGACACACGTGACACCGAAGAGTCGCAACGGCGTGTCCTCGGTCGTCGATCGTCGCGGACGAACTGCCTGTAGCGCCACGCGATCCACGCTCGACCGCGCCGTTAAGCGCCTGTCGTGCTATCAGCCAAGCCGCTCGAGGCAGCAATTTCTTGTGCATGTACGAGAGAAACGATGCGATCTCGCTCGCACTCAACCGTCGCTCCTCCTTCGCCGTTTCGTACCTCGAGAGCGAATTTCTCGAACAATGCGTTCGTTCGTCGACGATAGCTCGCGTGGCGCGCAGCGTGAGGTCGCGCGTGTACTCGATCGCCACCACTGTGCACCGAGCGGTCAATCCATTCGCGTCTGGTGAACGATCGTACTCGTCATGTGAAGGCGTCTGTCGTCGCTGTCGTACGCGAACGTCGAATCGGCCATGCTTGTCAACCAGCGTCTGTACGCTCGAGTCAGTAGCACGATGCTGTTCAGTGTGACCGCTAGACTGCGATACACTTGCGTTAGTCGTTGCGACGGCGCGATCTCGCTGGACGCGGGAGAGTCGAACGCGAGGTCGGCGCTCGTTTCGATCGCGCATATCAACGCGCGCACCGCCGAGGCGACTCGTCGATTTTCGGTGTCGCGAGAAGCGGTCACGCGGTTTCTCCTTCTCACAGCACCCTAAGCTCCAACAAGCGATTCAGCAGAACCACCAGTGTGATCGGCGGCATGTCGTCTCTCGATTCTCGGTCCGACAGCAGAGAGTCCAACGGCACGATAATTCGTTCGCCGCATTTCCCGAATAGTCTCGACGAGTCTTCATTGCGCAGAAACGAACCGAGCAGCTCCAGACGACTGGTCGCCAGATAGCCGGTGGTCAGCAGTTCTTGTCGCGATTGTTCGTCGCTACTCTCGGACGGCGAACGCGGTTTCAACATCACCACCGAGCACTCGTTCGGCTGGCATTTGATCGCGCCGCTGAACGTGTTGGTGAGAAAGTAGAATCCGTCGCACGGACGATAGTACACGTACCAGTCCAACGGGCGAATGACGATCAGATCGTCGTTCGCGCGTCTGAAAACCTCGGCCTGCAGCACGCTCGAGCCACTGACGGCCAGTGTTCTCTAGGCGATTTGTTGCGCTCTCCACCACGAATTTTGGGCCGTCGACAGATACGTTCTCGAGGATATCACTCGTTCGTTGTCGCCGTCGATCATTGTCTCGTTCAATGTCCGTTGACACTCCCGTACACGCGTCTCGTCGAACACCACGATTGTTCGCGCGAAACGAATCACAGCGCACGCGACAACGATACAGCATGCGACGATCGCGAGCATCGTGCGACCGAGCGATTGAGCGTGGGTGTTTTCGCGGTTGTTACGACCGTCGGCATTGTCATCGATCACGACGGAGCGAAGGTGCATTGCCATCGCGAACAACGACGCGTGCGAAAGGAGCTCTCGGCTTAGCCCTTAATGTCGAGACCAGCGTTCGAAATCTGCCAGTTGTCGACGCGCGGAGAGTACGCTCGATCGTGTATCTGACGAGGTAATCGTTCAGCGGCAAAAGCGACCGTCGGTCAGGTGGATCTCGACCGATATCAATTCGTCGTCCGGTCGAGCCAAACGAACGATCGTCCCCGCGTGCGATTGTACAAACGTAACGACGGATGGATCGGACAATGGGAGGCGAAATTGAATAACGCGCGAACGCGTGTAATATCCGTTTCACGAGTTTCTACTTCGCGGAATCATCGAGCATATATGCGCCGCGGCGTTTCGGTCTCGTCCGGTGCGCTCCTCGTCGTCCTCCTCCTCCTCCGTACTAGCGAACGAACCGACGATCGCATTGTCGAACATGGGGAAGCAGGATTGCTTGCTGACACCAGCGCTCCGTACACGGAGAATATAGTCAGAGCGCCGCACAGAAACCCCACGAAATTTTTGTTCCACGAGAGAATCAGCGTGAGTAACAGAACGATCGCCAATAGGCACATGATGTACGTGACGTATCGCGTGTTCCATAGTACGGTTTTGCAGTTGTTACGTCCCGGTCGGCCGCGGCTGCGATGTTAGGCTGCAGGTGCTCGGGCCTGGACGCGGGGCTAGATCGCAAATTTTGGGTCAAACAAATCGCGTGATTCTCCCCAGGGATACGCGCGATCTGGCGGGCACGACACGATGTTCCGCGGAGTATAGAGCAATTGGCACTCACCAGTTCCTTTAATCCAATGAAATGATCTGGCACACCTGTGTCATGGAGTTGCGCATGTGCCCACGAAGCTGTTCGAGGGTCGGAGTTTTCCCGTTACAGGTGCGGAGGGTGTGAGGCGGGGTAGATGCTCCGTAGTAGTAGTGGAGAATCTCTGCACGCAGTCGACGGTAGAAAGCAGGCCTCGGGTCTCGTGGCAAGAATCCGCGTCGAATGATCGGTAGTCGCGGATGGGTATCACAATCGATCTTGCTAATACTGTATGATTTGCGAGTGGTAGCTTTCGGGTGCTCTGGCACGCGACTGAGGAGATTCTGGAGAGCGAGGGGGTTCAGTGGAGCGAGGAGGCCCCTCGTCGGGAGCGGAGTTGGTGGGTTCGACACCTAGGTAAGGGTGGTACGCTTGTCCATGTTTTAGTTGGTATTCCAATTTTTTGATGAATGATTCTACGACCACCCCTGCGTACAGAGCGCATTTGGAATCATTCCCGTGACTCCGGCCAGCTGTATTCGTGTGGTTAATTCGGAGGTCCCTATTCTGTCAGGCGGTGCGATCGAGTCGCAACCTATGCGCCTTCGAGCAACTAGTAGACGGTGCGATCGAGCCGCAACCTGTGCGTCAACGGATGGGCGGTGCGATCGAGCCGCAGCCTATACGCCCCTATTCTAGCGATGCGAATACCTCGAAGAATCGGCGGCCAGTTATCAGCTAGGCGATTCCAATGCGTTAGCGGTCGGGGATGGGGGGAGGTGGGAGAGTGAATCTAACCTTTAATCGGCTGACAAGAATATATTTTAACTAAAACGAATACACGAAAATATTCTAAGTTAGATTTAGTGAAAATATTCTAAGTTCACATTCACGAAAATATTCTAAGTTAAAACTCACGAAAATATTCTAAGTTAGATTTAGTGAAAATATTCTAAGTTCACATTCACGAAAATATTCTAAGTTAGATTTAGTACTTATATTAGACCCTAGGGGGGATGGAGGAAGCACTGCACCAGATCACTGCACGACTAAGACTGACTCTCGGACGCTCCGCGGTCCCTGAGCTGCGGCTTTCCCGAGCCGCCGAATTTTCCTCTGGAGTGGGGAGGTAGTGGGGGTTTGGAAATTAGGACTTAGAAAATTTCGGTGCGGAGGGACTTAGAAAAATTCTCGACCGAGGGACTTAGAAAAGTTTTGGGTTGAGGGACTTAGAAAAATTTAGGTTCGAAGGACTTAGAAAAATTTAGGTTCGAGGGACTTAGAAAAATTTGTAGTTAGGGGACTTAGAAAAATTTTAGGTTCGTGGGACTTAGGAAAATTTGTGGTGATTCCAGGGAGAGGAGAGAGAGAAAATAAAGAGAGAAAAAAAAAATTTTTGTGTGGTGCTTCCTCTTACAATTGGTAGTGCGGATGTGACACAGTCGAACCACGTAGCCGACATCTTGGCCAATCCCGGGGCTAGAGTGCACCGCAGATTGTTGAACGTGTCGCGAACGTTCAGTCTGATGCCGTCGCCGTTCGCGCCGTTATAGCCACTGCCACTGACCATGTTCACGATTTCTCGTCTCTAACTCGATGCGAGCACGATTTTTTTCATGCGCTCTCCTTATTATTCCTCGGTTCGGAGCGATGACATCGCCGAGTCGCTTCCCGAGAAGCTTATCTTGTCGACGTCCTCGAGGAACATCGTACCGATTATACCGTCGCGATCGGCCATTGGCTCTTGAAATCGATCGGCTAGATATAGCAGGAAGAATCGATCGTCGCGTTCGTTCGTAGCGGACGCGCGAACGAGCGCGGGCGAGGGAAGTCCGAGCTCACCGTCGATCACGATCGGGGACGGAGTCACGCGAACGGTCGTTCCGGCGCTCGCAGCGGTCGTTCGGTCGAGGATTCGATCGCCGTTGTCGACGCGAATCGGTCGCGTCGACACTGAGGACGATCGACGTTCGGCGGGAACGAGTCGACAGCCGTCCTCGGGGCCGTTGTCGCGTCGCGACGCGCCGTTCTCGCGATCTGCGTCCACGAGAACGACGAACGGTCTGTCGTCGAAATCCGCATTGTCCTATGTGATCTTACCGTCGATGCGCATCGGCA